GAATGTTCAGGTAATTAAGTCTAACCTGAAAGCGGTCCAGGATCGACAAAAGAGCTTTGCGAACAGGCATGCCACTGACAAGGTGTATAAAGTTAGTGATTGGGTGTTTCTGAAGCTTTCATCCATAAAGAGGTGTCGTACGGTTTGGAAAGAAAGGTAAGTTAAGTCCCAGGTATATCAGACCATATATGATCACTGAGCAAGTTGGTGAAGTGGCTAACAGCTTGAGTTACCTTCTAAACTGGCTAAAGTACATAATGTTTTTCATGTGTCCATGCTTCGTCATTACGTTGCGGATCCGTCGCATGTGATACCTCCTCAACCATTGGAAATTAATCAGGATTTGACATATGACGAGGAACCGGTAACGATTCTGGATTGGAAGGAAAAGGTTTTGAGGAACAAGACTGTGAGTTTAGTGAAACTTTTGTGGAGGAATCACTTCGCGAAGGAGGCTACTTGGGAGACTAAAGACCGGATAAGAGATTTGTATCCTCGGTTGTTCTATGGTTACTAGTGGTTAGTTTGAGTTGTTATGAATTTCGGGACGAAATTTTTTTAAGGAGCGTAGGTTGTGACAGCTCATCCCGAATTATTTGTACCGTAGGTGTGAAATGACGATTTTACCCTTGGTGGGTATTTGTTATTTTGGGGTGATTGTTTTGTTGTTTTGTTAGTTGCACTTCGACCACACACACCCACGCATCCATATCATCTTCCTCGTGTATCTCTCTCTGTCTCGAACACACACACACACACTATCTTTATCCTTCTCACTTATATAGATGGGGTTCAAAACCCTTGCAAACGTTGCAAATCGAAGTGGAAAATAGTACATTTGTGTTCGTGAGGATCATATGAGTTCAACATACCAAACTCAGGTAAAGAATCCTTCGATTTCACGTCGAACCAGGAATCTCCGATTTGGTCACTGTTCATGCACTCGTGAAATATGGTTTTTCAGGGAATTTGAAGCTTTTAGGAAGCTTAGTGAGGTCCTTAGGAAGCTCGGGGTGGTTCGTTGAGTGGGATTGGACGTCAGGATTATGAGTTGCAAGTTTGGCCGATTTTTCTTGAATTTCTCCGACGACATCTCGTGATCTTTGGGGCTTTAAACAAGTAAGGAAATGTTCTACAAGTTAAGAGCTTCAATTTGGTACTGGTTTCATGAAATTTGGTGAAGAAACGAGTGAGATATTAAGATTTGAAAATTTTCCAATTTTTCGGCGACGGCGACGGTACTGGAGAAGTGCCGGAGAAGATAAGGGAATATTCTGTTAAGTTAACAGAATATTGTTAACAGCGTCAGATTAGTTTTAACGGAATCTATTATGGTTTAACAGAATATTCCTGACGCCGTCAATGTGATTGGCACGTGGCCGCGCGTGGAGGGCGCTTAGGGTCGTGCCTTCGCCGGTGCGTGGAGCCTCGAAAAATTATTTTAAAAATATGGGGATGTTCGTGAGGTTGAGTAGATCACGTTGGTATATCCAAACATCCTATTTGAGCATTGTATGATAAGTTATTACCTAGTTTTGGTTATGTGCTTTAAATTGACCTTATAGTTGTTTCGCATATAGGTGACACCTATCCTGAGGACGAGCGCAGTTACTCGAGGCAAGGGATTTACGACTCTTCCACATATCAGTGAGTGGGCTTTTGGTTTTCCATATATACCTATATACTTGTGGTTTTTCCCAAAAAATGAAATGGAATGTTTATATGTTTTAAATGCCATGCATAGCGTTTGCCTATTTATTTTTGCATTAGTAGTTGCATATATGTATGTTTAGTACTGCGGACACGCAGGTAAGTGCCAGGTAAGTTTATGGTTTATGATTATGAATTAGTGGTTATGTGAGATGCATAGAGAGCTCATAACCTGCACCCCCGGTGTTAGTGCTCCCGCCTAGAGTAGGGCACAGTCCTTCACGTGATGTTCACCTCCCGCACAACACACTCATCTTAGATCCAAGTTAAGTGCACAGTCTTGTCGTACAAACCACTATAAGTGGTTTCGACTCGTAGGTGACCCGCGATTATTCACCTAGTCTTCACGTGATTATAGCACTTGAGCGTATTTATTTACACCCAGTCCTGTCGTACAAACCACTTTAGGTGGTTCCGACTCGTGTGCAGGTATAGTTAGTGAGTTAGGGATTTGAGCTCTAAATTCAGTCGTACAGGTCACGTTAGGTAACTCTGGTTGGCATGTTACTTGCATTGATTGACATTACCTGAGTTACTTACATTTTATATGGAGGCATTCGACATGGCATATTTCTGAACATCCTTTTGATATATGTGTATATTCTATTTTCTGGGAAACTATATAGGTTTTATGGCGAGGGGTTAGAACTTTTGATAATGAAATGATTTTGAAAAGCTTTGTTTTTGCCCACTCATACTTTCTGTTTTACGCCCCTCCAGGTTTTAGTTAGAAGCAGCTTTGGTGGTTCACGAGGACTTGACGGTGGTTCTGACAGAACATCACAAATGTAGGATCACCTTTGGGTGTTGTGTAATTAGTATTCGTTCTTCTAGACTGCACTTAGGCTTTCTGTGCTCTGATTATGTTTATCACACTTAGTCTCACACTAATGTATTACCTTAATTAGTTTATTTAGTAGTTTGGTTTTTATGTATTCGTACTTTTATTATTATCTTTTGCTTTCGCACTGTGCACATAGCTACGTGACCCTCACGTGATGGCCAGCACGCCTTGATTCCGATTGGGGTGTGTCAAATGTTGTTTGTTTTTTTTTTTTTTTTTTTTTTTCATGGAAATCCCTTGAATGTTGTTAATTAAAGCAATGTTGAAATGAAAAGGACAACGAAGCAGATTGTTTTAAATGCTAAACTTCAATCAACAATTTTAAATTTAAAAAATAAAAAAATGATACAGAAATATAATAAATACTAAAATGCTGAAGTATACAAAGTCGAAGGACTTTGATCAAAAATTAAAAAGTAATATGGTTTCAATCTAATAATTGAGCTGACGAGGGACCACAACCAAAGTGACCCTCCTCTTTCTTCTATTCCATTGATTAAAATCTTATTTCTTCGTAATTTTTTATCAAGGTCCTTATGTTTTAATGAATGTCGTTATTTCAATAATAAAAGTTTGCAAATCAACATAATTAAATTAAATTTCCAAAATATTCATTTAGTCTTAGAAACATTACATTAAGTATATTTGTATTTATGGCTAAACTTTGTATCATATATTTCTAATTTTAGTTTGTATCCAATTTTAATTTGTAACCCTTGTTTTCAACTTTGTACTAATTTTCTTTTTAGTTTGAATTTGTACCCATGTATTAATTTCTTTTTCTGCTCATATATTTTTAAAATTTCATTTGTACTCATATTTTTTAAATTATTTGAACCCTAATTTAGTTATAATGTACCCATTCTTTCTTTATTAATGTACCACTTTGTTATATGTCAAATGTGCCAAATTTTTTTGCAAACTTTCATATGTAAAATGTACAAATTTTTTAACAATATAAATACATTCTTTTGCCATTTTTTATTTCATATTGTTACATTATTTTTATCCATTTATTCAATCAAAAAGTTTTAATTTTTTTATTGTACCCATTTATATTATGTACCCCATAATTATTTTTTTAACAACCCCATAACTATTTTTTTTTAACAACCCCATAACTTTTTTTTTCAACAACCCTATAACTATTTATGTGGCCATAATATATTTTTTTATAATATTATGTACCTATATATATAAGTGGGTTTTCTTTTGCTAAATTATGTACTCATATATATTAATAGGCCACTATTTTTATTCCTATCATGTATCCATATTACTTTATATTTGTTTGCCATCGAATGTATCCATATGCATTTTGGGGTACATTACATTATAGGTTATTTACATTTTTTTTTAACATTATGGGTACAATCGTTTGACATTTATTATTTCTTATATTGTTACATACGTTTTTATCCATTTATTCTATCAAAAAAATTTAATATTTTCTTTTTATTATAACCGTTTTTAATTTGTATGCCATATAAATATGAGATTTTAAATCCCATAACATGTCAAGTAATTAATATAAAACATATGGAAATACACACTTGTAGTAATGATGAGGTGTACAAAGTCAAGGGACTTTGATAAAAAATTAAATACCATTAAGGTTTTAGTTAAAGAGTGTTAGTGGCTAGAGACCGGAACCAAAATCTCCCGTATTTTTTATTATTAGTCTTATTTATTTTATACATGCCAACATTTTACAGGTTACTTGGAGATTTGACCACAACAATTAGAAATGTTCACATATATAAGTTGTAACAGCTATTAACAATTAGAAATTTGTTTAAATTTTATGCTTATGTGAGATTGTAACTAATAAATCATTTGCCAACAAGAGATTTATTTAATTGAAACTTAGTCCCAGTTGATCAAATGAAAATTTTATGTTTACAAAAATTCTGTCTTTTGATTGAATTAGAATATACACTACTACAAAACCACTTATTAGTATTGTTATGATAACCAACAAGAAACTTATATTACTGTCGGATATTAAGCAAAATCCGACAGAAAATGGATGTAGTGGCGGATATAAAAAGCGACAGAATTGTCTGCGTTAGGAAATGAATTTTTCGACAGAAAATACTATAAAACTGACAGAAATTGTGTCAGATATAACCGATAGAGAATATATTAATAATGAATAAATAAGAGCATTATTTGTCGGATAAAACCAACAGAAAATACTATAAAACCGACAAAACTTGTGTCGGTTATAACCAACAGAGAATTTATTAATAATGAATAAATAAGAGCATTCTCTGTCGGATAAAATCGACAGAAAATATCTTAATAATAAAAAAAATATATAAACCAAGACGATGGGAAACTTTCATTAGTTGAAAAAGGTAAGCATCGATCTCCATGCAAAGCAAGAAAGAGCGATGATGAACATGGTATTAACCAAGACGATGGAAAACTGGACAACAGAAACATGCTGATTGGTCTTGGAGCTGGAGGGCTGTACGGGGCCACCGGTCTTGGCCTTGGGATCAACCCATTCGCCACCGCTCTTCCGATTCCCACTCCTGACCTATGCGTCCCGACCACGGAGGATTTGATTGGACTTCATTGTTGTCCACCACCGTCTACTGAAATCATCAAATTCAAGCTACCAGACAAAGTCACAAATTCACTCCGCACCAGGCCAACGGCACATAAAGTCGATGAAATATTTAAAAAACTACAGAACGGCCATCGACCGGATGAAGAACCTCCCCGAGGACGACCCACGTAAGTTCTGAAACCAAGCTAAAGTTCACTGCAATTACTTGTTAGCAGTGAAAAGTATTTTAAAAACTACAAAACTGCATATTACTATGTTAGCTGTGATAAAAATGGCAAGGAGAAAGTTCACTGCAATGAAATACAAGTTCACTCCTCGTGGCTCTTCTACCCCTTCCACCGCTGGTACCTCTACTTTTACGAGAGAATCCTTGCCAAGCTCATTGAGGAGATCGGTCCAAATTTTCCTTTGCCTTTCTGGAACTGGGACGGTAAAGATGGCATGTACTTGCCTTCCATTTTCGAGGACGACCGCAGTAGACCACTACCGAAACGCCAATCACCGGAAGCCGGGATTTGTGTTGCACCGGCGCAAGAAAGAGATGGAGGGGTTTTATTTTGGAAAATTTTCATTACTGTCGGTTAAAACCGACATAAACATTTTTTAAAATAAAAACCAACATAAAGTTTTCATTATTGTCAGTTATAACCGATAGAAAAAAAAAAATGACAGCAAATATCCCCAAAATTCCTTTTCAAAATTTTAAATTCGCTCCCAAAATTTTAAATTCCCCCACCCCCTCCCCAAAAAATTTTGTTACAATTTAAAAAAATAAAATAATAATTGTTTGGTTTAATAAATAAATAAATAATATGTATTTAAATAAAATACGTTTTTAAAAATTAAATAAATAATTGTTTGGTTTAATAAATAATAACCCATGTAAAATATGCGATAAAGAAACAAAAAGATAATTGTACAATGAAAATGTCATCACACAAACTAAATATTGTCTAATCAATACATGAAAAACATAAATAAAAATTTAGCACAAATTACTTTTCCCAGTTCAAAATTTAGGCAAATTTAATGGAAATATGCATTCTATGAAACTAGTTTCAATGATCTAACCGTCAAACTTGTTTGTAGATACTCCAAGATCGCATACGTAAAAATAGCAAAAAAAAAAAAAAAATTCAAAGATTAGGTAACGGAACAAAAGTTTTCAACGGTTTAGCTCTGGTTTTGAAGATTTTTTTACAGTTACACTCCTCGACCCTATAAGAATGCAATGAACGAATTCGATCTTCAATTTAAAATATTAACACTAGTGGACATCAAAAATCTAATTTTATACTTAATGGAAGTATAATATTAACTCTAAGTGTTTGTTTAATCTACTGTTTTAACGTGATATGCATTTTACGAAATTTTTTTCAACGATCCAACCATCAAACTTATTTGTACACACTACACACTCCAAGATTGCATACGTAAAAAATCGTAAAAAACAAACATTCAGAGATTTCATAATGGAACAAAAGTTTTTTACGGTTATAAATGAAAAATCATAATTTAACGGTTATTTTAGTCCCGATTTTAATGATTTTTTACAACTACACTTCTCGACCCTATAAGAATGCAATGAATAAATTTGATCTTCAATTTAAAATATTTATACTAGTGGATACCACAAAATCTTATTTTATACTTAATGAAAGTATAACATTAACTCTTAAGTATTTATTTAATCTATCGTTTTGACGCGATACACATTCTACGAAGCTTTTTTCAATAATCTAACTATCAAACTTGTTTGTACACACTCCAACATTGCATAAGTAAAAAATCACAAAAAACAAACATCTAGAGATTAGGTAACAGAACAAAAGTTTCCGACAGTTATAAACGAAAAATCACTATTTAACAGTTATTTTAGCTCCGGTTTTGATGATTTTTTTACAGCTACACTCCTCGACCCTATAAGAATGCAATGAACGAATTCAATCTTCAATTTAAAATATTAACACTAGTGGATACCACAAAATCTAATTTTATACTTAATGGAAATATAATATTAACTCTAAGTGTTTGTTTAATCTACCGTTTTGACGCGATATGCATTCTACGAAATTTTTTTCAACGATCTAACCATCAAACTTATTTGTACATACTCGAAGAATGTATACATAAAAAATCGTAAAAAACAAACACTCAGAGATTACATAACGGAACAAAAGTTTTCGACAGTTATAAATGAAAAATCACAATTTAACGGTTATTTTAGCCCCGATTTTAATGATTTTTACAACTACACTTCTCAACCCTATAAGAATGCAATGAATAAATTTGATCTTCAATTTAAAATATTTACACTAGTGGATACCACAAAATCTTATTTTATACTTAATGGAAGTATAACATTAACTCTTAAGTGTTTATTTAATCTACCGTTTTGACGCGATACACATTCTATGAAACTTTTTTCAATGATCTAACCGTTAAACTTGTTTGTACACACTCCAACATCGCATACGTAAAAAATCACAAAAAACAAACATTCAGAGATTAGGTAACAAAACAAAAGTTTTCGACGGTTATAAACGAAAAATCACAATTTAACGGTTATTTTATAGTTACACTCCTCGACCCTATAAGAATGCATTGAATGAATTCGATCTTCAATTTAAAATATTTACACTAGTGGATACCACAAAATGTTATTTTATACTTGATGAGGAAGTATAACATTGACTCTAAGTGTTTGTTTAATCTATTGTTTTGATACGATACGCATTCTACGAAACGTTTTTCAACAATCCAACAGTCAAACTTGTTTGTACACATTCCGAGATCGCATACGTAAAAAATCGCAAGAAACAAACATTCAGATATTAGGTAACGGAACAAAAAAAATTTATGGTTATAAACGAAAAATCACAATTTAACAGTTATTTTATCTCCGATTTTGATGATTTTTTACAGCTACACTCCTCAACCCTATAAGAATGTAATGAATGAAAGCGATCTTCAATTTAAAATATTTACACTAGTAGATAAATCTTATTTTATACTTAATGGAAGTATAACATTAACTCTTAAGTGTTTGTTAAATCTATCAATTTGATAGGATATGCATTCTACGAAACTAGTTACAATGATCCAACCATCAAATATGTTTGTATATACTCTAAGATAGCATGTGTAAAAAATCACAAAAAAAAAAAAAAAAAAAAAAAAAAAAAAAAAAACATTCAGAAATTATGTAACAGATGAGTGAAAAAAAAAAAACATTCAGAGATTATGTAACGGGACCATGAGTGAAAAAAAAACATTCGGAGATTATTCTGGTGGCCACCCAAAATTTCATTTTGTTCGTGTCGGTTATATCCAATAGGGCCATGAGTGAAAAAAAAATTGAAACATGTGTTTATTTATTTATTTTTAATCAATATAACATTTTAAAATAATAAAATAGTCAATTTTTGTCGGCTATAACTGCCAGAATACTAAAATAATAACCACCAAAAACCAAAATAATAAAATAGTCGATTTCTATCGATTATAACCGCCACCATTAACTTAAAAACCGCCGGAATATTTTAAAAATATATATATTTTTTTAAAAGAATTAAAAAATACTGGCGGTTATAATAATTTTATGGCGGTTGCATCCGACACTAAATATCTGCTAGGAATTTATGTCGGCTATAACCGACAGGATTTCATTGTTATCTAACACTAACTGAATGATGTGTTAGATATCTTTTATCCGGCATAATGGCTTATTAAACCACCACCATCATCGACACCTAAAGCTAATATTGTAGCAGTGATATGAGATGTTTAAATTTAAAACTCTTGAGAAATAGACATTTTTTTATTGATGTGGTGGAATAGGCTTAAACAAACTTAATTTGATTTCAATGGTGGCATTGGTCAAATTAAATCAAACTAAACCGTTGAAAGTTGGTTGTTCGGTTATACTTTTTGTGTCAAACACTAGTAGGAAAAGCCATTTGCTTGACAGATGTTTGGGCAATAAAGCAAAATTCGTTGAAAATTCGTTGCACAAGTGTGTTTTGCACAATAAAACAATAACTTCATCACGTAAGAATGGTGCTACTTTGCACGATGCACACCTTTGTTGCACAATACTGTATGCATGACGAAAAACAAAAAATTCATCGTGCAAAGTTAGTAAGAAAACTGCGGGTAATTTTTTTTTTGGACCGAAACAAAATGCGCGACGTTCCTGCGGAAACCTTGCGCGATAAAGGCTTCGTCGTGCAAAGTTTGTCCAGGTTTTGAGTCAGAGTATTAAGTGCATGCGAATCAAAGGAATGACGAAGTTTTTCCCGTAAAAACCTTGCGCGACATAGGCTTCTTCGCGCAAAGTCCACTCAGTTTTTGAGTCAGAGCATTCAGTGCATGTGAATAAGAGGAATCAATACCGTATTTAGTGCAGATGTTTGCGCGACAAAGGCTTCGTTGCGCAAAGTCCCTAACCTTCTAATAAATATGTGTTTCTGCTTTCCTTATTCTTCACAATTCGTTTTAGAAATGCTTTACTATTTTGCAGATTATAATCAATTTGTTCTTTGATTCTTGGTACGATGGTTGACTATGGTGCGAGTTCATAAAATATAATGGATGGCGAAGGTTCCAGAAAAGGCTTGCATTGTAAATTTTGCGGATTGTATAAAGTTTATATTTAGCTTCAGTATTATGAATATATATTTTGTTAATAGACAAGAAGGAAAGAGCTACGGTATCGGTCCGACACACTAATGGTGGGAGCCATTACTGAATCACTTTTGACGAATTAATAGGGGTTATGAAGTCAGATATGCGCACCAGGTTTTGGTCCAATGCTAGAGTATTGGTGCATGACAAATGTGGTGTGGATTAAGAGTCTTGGAGAGCCATCTCTGAGGAGCTGAAGATGCACTTGATCGATGAGTGATAGGAGCATATTCATGCGACTTAATTAGCTTGTTCTCATGCATTTATGTTGTGTTTACTTAGTTATTTTAGTGTTAAGGCCACCATTGTGTATTTTCAGATTATAAGGTCAAAGTGTGCAAGAAGATGCAAATTGAAGTATTTTGGAGCGAAAGAGGAATGAATGAGTTGAAGACTTGAAGAAACGACGAATTCCTATTCCAACGATGAATTCCTACCAAAACGAGGAATCCTACTCAAACAAGGTTTCCTATTTGAAGTAGGAAAGTTAACCCTAGGTTTCCCGTTTTGGTAACCTTTCCTAAACTTAAACGTCCGAATTTTCTAGCCACTTTGAAGGCCTTGTATGCACTTTAGGACACAAAACAATGGCCCTAGCCCACTTTAAAGCCCAAGCCGCACCTATTAACCATTTTTCCCTTTAATTCCTGATTTAATTCCCTAATTCTATTCAGCCATATATTCAGCCACACACATTTCAACCGCAACTTCCATCCAAAAATAAACCCTAAGCCTTCTAGTTCTAATCTCAGCCGTTCCCTTTAATTAAACCCTAGAGCCTTTTCATTCATTCATATATATTCTATTTTTCAGCCATTCACCCTAGGTTTTAATCCGCAGCCACCATCCCATTTATTTTCTTA